GCGTGACCGATTGTTTTATTTTATTTGGGCAAGTTTACGATTGCAAATTCCTACTCGATAAACATGTTTTGTAAGTTCTTCCATATCTAATATTGCTCAGTATGTACTATTTAGTAACTTGCTCATTCGGCGTCTTTATATAAAAGTACAATGTTACGACGCTACGCCGCCGTAAACTGTATCTCTCTAGAAATATGTTACCTAGTAATGTCTTTAAGTTGCATATAGCTCTTTTTAGTCTCATTTGACAACGACCCCTATCGCCAGAGTCCAGCAGCCTATAAACATGTTAGCCTATGGACTTTTACACAAAAGAAAAATCGTTAAAAATTCATTTTTTGTTAAAACGAAAAGCATATCCACCCCGACGTACGTTATCACTAGCTTTTTCATTGGGACCCTCATGTCCCATTGACTTTTGGAAGTTCACCCACCGTAATTTGATCAAAATAGGTCGCAAGCTCGCCATTGCATATATAACGCATGTGTAACAAGTCGAAATAGGACGCAATTTACCACGCGATTGTAAGATTATAGGTCAAGCACACGGAGGATAAGAAGCATGAATTATCATAGATCAGTTCTGCTTGGTTCATTATATCCACTTCACCCAGCCCCCCCCCCCCCCCCCCCACCGTAATTTTTCCATTTAGTATAGGCAAACATTTTGCCGAGGTAAGCAAAAACATGAATATTCATGACACACCATGGACTATTCGATTATTAACAGAGGGGTGCAATTGTGCACCACATCAAACATCCCCTACTTTCAGTCAAGTATTTCATTGTAGTATGTAGTTTGGTAGGTTTATTTTACTAACTGTTTAATTATCAGATATCAATGATAGTTTAAAGATAATGGAAATGGTTCTTGTATCTTATATTTAGCAAAGCAATCTCACATATTAAGTTACTATCAAGTGTCGTCTGATCCGCATTTTGCCGTCTGCTATATACGTTCTATAGACGGCGAACTAGCTACGTTTGTGATGGCGAAAATGAGACAACCGGAGCAATATGGTCTAATGAAATGCTGGATTCTCCCAGATTACATGGACGGTCTTTCATATCAGAACCAGTCTTAATTGTCATCTTACTAGGTAATATATGAATAATAATATACAATAAGATACATGGTGTGTAAGGAATAAAGAATAAACCGATTCATTATACTTAATATAACGATCATACATCCGAGACCAGTTTGAACCCAAGAGCCACAACATCTAATGAGGGAAGGGGGAGGTGGGGGGATTCTTACCTTTCTACATGTGTCATTATCATTCAGTTGGCAAGTGATTTCCATATCTTCACATTTGACATTCATCTCATCATCATCATCTTTAGCGGGTTGATACTCTGCTTTCTCTCCGATTTCATGAACATCTCTCTGTGACAAGGTTATGTGACAAGACGATGTTTATTTATACAACTTTCAGACTTGAGAATACACAAAAGTTGCATGTATCATAGTTCAAACTGGCACAAAACATATTTTTCTAAATAGTTTTTAGCTTTGAAGGAGGGTATAACGGCAACACTTTGAATCATTTATAGAGGTATTGACACACAACTTCCAGAAGAATTTACCATTCTCTAGGCCCACAGTGAATTCAATATGAATACTTTTAACATTCCATAAGTTTACCTTTTTAGCCATGTTGGGTTTCAAATGGGATAGAATGGTAAGTAAAGTGAGCGTGTTCTTTCGGTAGTCCTTTAGAGGACTACTTGCTATTGTTAGGAGAGAGGCCGAGAAAGTTAAGAGAGGTAGTATTTAGTGAGTGCAGGTAAGCTGGATGAACCAGGCCATGACGCTCCTCTCATTATTAGCCTGGTCAAGCTCACCATTCTTTTATGGACTACCTACATATAGTGAAAGCGCAAAGTTAAAGAATATTACACATATGACCATGCAAAACATAACTTTTGAAGAGTATTTGAATCCCTTGAATTTGTAGTCTTGACAAACAGCATGGATTTAGTTTTACGTCTTTCATGTTAATGAAAATGAAGCCGATCCTATCAAAACATCATTATTCACCTAGTGGGCAATTGGTGAGCATTAATGTATGTGTGTTTTAATGAAAAAAATAGTGGATATTTAATTGAGATTACTTTATATGACAGATATTTATGCCATACCCAAGAGTTTCCATGAGGTTTGTTGGCCATACGAAACTCCAGCGGCATTTCCCTACACTGTGGCATAATCTTTGGAAGAAAAGGCATGAAGGACATTCGTTTGCTTTTCATGTAGAACAGATTTGTAATGAAGGCCGGAAGTCCTATTGTAAAGTGCTCCAGTGAAATCTCCACATGGTTGCATGTAACCAGACAGGTTCTTGAAGTTTGTACAATGCGATCAGCTTCTCCTTCTGTAAATAAAAAATGAAATGAATTGCACACAAAACTATTATTAGTCGTAGTTGTTGTTAAGGTTGTAGTAGTTGTTTTTGTGGTTCTCGTAGTATGATTACATTTAGTTCTTTCTTCAATATCAGTGGAAACATTACCTGATTTTGGTAAGCTTTCACTCGCTAAGCTACGAGCTTCTTCAGACCTTTGTAATTATTTCCACTGTTTGTGAAGAAAGACGGAATTTTCAAGCTACATCACCGATCAGATGAACCTCTTTGATGATTTAGTGGAAGTCAAAGTTGTAGTGATTTGCCACTCGCTACCAAGATTTAAATTGGTACCTTGCAATTATTGCTGGGGTAATAATAATCGTAGGGTCATAAGAATGAGTAGCATTGATGCTGATGATTCTTGCGTGAGTAAACAAACTTGTTATTATTATTATAAATATTATTATTATTAGTAGTAGTAAAATTATAATCGTCAGTATCATTATTATCATCATATCTACTACTACTATAAGTATTCACCCTGTTCTAGATCCTAGTTGAGTTATCGCATTCTGTCTATCTACGATCCTTTACCCCACTCAGTTGTTAAACGGGTATTTGCTCGGATGCTTTCAGTTTTGGATGATTAGAAATTACATGCCTGTAAAATGGCGACTGGCTAGAAAGCTCTCCATTTAGTTGGAGGGTATGTGGTATTATAACAACTAAAAAATGTTTTTTTCTTCTTCTTCTGATTTCGACATGTTAATGAACTTTCTGTTTCTTGACCACATTGCTTTACCGTGATTCCAGAAGTACATAACGACCAGCACTTTTGTCGGATCAATGAGGTTGGCACAATGAGGAATCTTCAATCTGACAGGTTTCTCTGATACAAATTGTAATCCTGACGGAAGACACTGAAAGCCGTAGGTAAGAATCGTCTCATCGGGTCTTAGAGTGATTGCAGGTGGAATGTCTTTGAGAACATCTAAAGTGATCGTTTCACTAGAACCCTCTTGCAGCGCACCGGGAGGGATGGAAAGAGTGAATCCGTATGACGGGATCTGTAGCTCTCCTCCATTATGGTCAAAGATGCCTTCACAATGGTATTTGTCTAATGTTAAAATCATTTGTAACATTATCAATACATGTATCAGTTATGATGCGAGGAGATCTTGCCTTAGGTAGTATGAATATTCAATGCATTCTGTATTGATATACTTTCAAAACACAATTTTTCGAACTTGAGTCACAACAGTGTCATATAATGATGGAAGCCCTAGAAGTAGGTTTTTGTCATGTGTGATCTCTTTTTGCAACGCTTTTTATATTTACGAGGAACTATACGTCGACTTCACGTTATGCAACAATAATAATGAATGTAATACTCATTACGCCCCCGAAAATTACACCCTACGACAATTTCCCCCTGGAAAATAACCCCATGGGACAATCACCAAATGTACTATCATCCCAGGACAATAACCCCCTTAAAACAATACCCGATTTGGGACCAAAAAACACACCTGGACATTCAACCCATGACAATTACCCCATTAAGACATTTGTCGCAAGGGCCAATAACCTCAAAGACAATTATTATACCTTATGATTACAATTACCCCCTAGGGCGAATACCTCCTGGATGATAGAACAATTACCCCTCGGACCATTGAAAATAACACAAACATCTTCTTTTTTTTTGCACGAGTCCTCTCACCCTTTCACACACACACACACACCCACACACACACCCACACACCCATAATAGCCGCCTGTTGATATATTTCTGGGTTTTCTTTTTCTTCTCTTTTCTTGTTTTTGTTGAGGGAGGGGGGTGTGCGTGCGGGAAAAGAGTGTGATTTTTGGTGTGTATTTGCAGTCGACAGGGACGCTAATTCTTTAAGATAAAAACAATTATTGAACAATATGGAAATTATTATTTTAATGCAAGTTTAAAAATAGATGGAAAGAACGAGGGATTTCATTGCAAAAGACGATCTGGCACACTAGAAGAAGGTGAAAAGGCTACGAGCCATTAAATCCCACGTATGGACCCTCATATTCCTTCAAATACTCTCACGTTATGTCCCTCATTTGTACACATTTCCCTTTTCTGTAATTTATGTTCAGCGCGTATCAAAATACATGAAAATATTTATATCTGGAGTTACAAAATCAAAAGAAATAAATGTACCAAAAAGCGGAATACTTTTCATCTTTACTTATAACGTTAAACCCTGCATACCAAAATCATTAATATGTATTATACATATATTGTAATCAAATAGAGGATATTTCAAATATATCTAATCCTCCAAAATGACATTCAAAGAATGCGAAAGCTCACAACTTATTCTTTATTTTCACCAAAACTCAACGTTCTCTTACGTCGCTCTAACAAAATTAAAAAGTGCCCCCTATGCATTATGGACATTTAATTAAACAATAAAACTGATCACCGCGTCTATCATTTCTCTCTTTTAAATATGAAATTTGTACTTCTGAATATGAATTTGGCGATTGCCTAAAGTTTTCTTGTTCTGTTCTTGTTTTTACAATGCACCCATGTCAATAAAAATGAAAACCTTATTAATCATCTATTTATCATTATTTGTTTATGATAATGTATGTTTTATTATTCATTTAACACAGAGTGTTACCTCGATCAGCTCTGATGATGTCCATGGCAGGATACCTGAGAATTTATGCGAATGACAACAAAGAAAAGAAAAGTGATATTAACATATTGTTTCAACCTTCAGGATATACGTGGGCAAGCAAAATGTATTTGATCAAATATCCACAGATTTTTTACCCATGAGATCAAAGTCCCACGTTCGGCATTTAAGAATAATCATTGCTAAAGTAATGAAGGTGCTTCATAAATGACTACTTTTTGTTTGCCCTTTAAAATAATACTTCTACTTGGGTACTACAGTTAATACTATTTGTGCATAAATGAATAATGAACGCATACTTTCATGTACACATATCCAGTGTCCATCTCAAGGTTTTTTGCACAGTTTTACAATTATATCTTATAACTAATTTATACAATCAGCAGCAATACTAACATTTAAGACATATAGTCAGGACAAAATGCGATGTAATGATTGATGGAAATGATAGCTTTCAAATGCAATTTTTCACACACTTTTTTTGAAAATAAAGACTCTCCTATCTACAGAAAGTAAGCATGAGAATTTTCAACAGGATTCATCGCAATTAATATTTCTACTGGCCAAAATTCTACAAATCATCTAATGGAGTTACTGAACAGTCAAGTATTACTCTTCATATACTACAATTCATAATAGTTTAATTAAATTTGAACAGTTTTTGTTGGATCAGTCCAAGGTAAAATTTACCCTATTTCATCCACATAATTTAATTTCATAACCTGGTAGAAATCATATATATAACTAAGCTGGAAATCTAAATCCAAATTTAGGAAAGCAATTTCAATAATATATATTTGTCTTTTAAAATAATAATAACTTTATTTCAAGAAGCACTTAACTAGTTACAACGTAGACCACTCGACTGCTACACCATTTCTACATTTGTTCTAAATGCCCATGTTAATATAATCCTTCCCCCACCTTGAGAATATCATCTGGCGAGTGATTTCATCCTTGGCATAGTGGACTGGTAGGTTGCCTTGGTTATCCTTGATGTCCGGCTTTGCTCCATGGTCCAAGAGATAGAAGACCAGGGCCTTCTTGGGAGACAATTCATTCTGATAGAACTCTGCTGAGATCTAGAACAATTATCAATAGAAACGATTGTTCAAACTTTTGGAGGCCCTTATGTTTCTGAAGATTTATCCACAGGTTCATCATTCTGAACATTTGTTATGTTATTCTGATGGTTAGTTATGTTTGTAATTCCGAAAGTGAAATAGGTTTCATTACTCCAAAGGTTTGTTACACAAAAAAAGGAAATAAGACTCGTTAGTCCAAAGGGTTTGTAATTTCCGAAAAATGACACAGAACTTGTTGCCATTTTTGCAATCATGTGCTTTTTTTATTTTCAGATATACGAACCCTCTTTAATTTTCAGAATTATCAATCCTTTTTTATTTTTCAGAAATAAGACCTTTTTTTAAATTTCTTTTTTTTTTACTCTACAAGATTAAATAATCATCGCTTTATACCCATTTTGGGCAGTATGCCCCATTTTTTATGCGCACTCATTTGGGAATGGTATTATTCCAATTGCATAATTGTAAGTAGGAAATTATGCAGAGCAATTTTCACAGGAGCAAGTGTCATACAATCCCAGGGATAATGTGTTCTAGAGTTTATCATCTTACCTTTTGGAGTACTGGTGTTGCTTCAACGTTGATGTCCTTCCTACCACAAAGTCTGATGGCTTCGTGAAGACAGGTCTCTCCGTCGATGGACTGGATGTTGAGATCAGCGCCATGGGAAACTAATGTCTCGATGATGGAGGTGTTGCCATTCCGCGTGGCTAAATGAACTGCTGTGCAGCCTTTCTCAGCATGTTGTCCAACAACCTGTGTAAAACACCAGCCTCAAGAAATGAGAATCTACTAACAACAGCTTTTTATGAAGCAGGTTCTTTTCTAGTTTTCCATTGCTTGTATCACCACATATACTTACACATATACAGATATTAGTATTTAAGTAAACATTATACAGTCAAACCTGTATGTTAAGGTTACCCATGGAAAACGAAAATAGTTGTCCCTGTAGACACATGGCCTTTCTAGGAAGGTTCTCAAACACATATATTTTTTTTCTCGAGGGAGGCAAAATGAACGGCCACGATACACAGGTGGCTTTTATAGAGAGGTGGCCACTAAAAGAGGTTTGACTTACTTGTATATGTTCTTGTACAAGATAAGTTTTAAGAAGTCCTTGTGGAATCATTTCAACCTTTTTCATAATTTAGACAATCTATATAATAGTAGTAGAAGGGGATTAGTAAAGACTGATTTTAATACTTGCAAGATTGTGGGTAAACGGTAGGATATTTTTCAATATGAAACCTATAGGAATACTAAATTAAATACCTTCTTCTCATCTTCTGTTAAAGCCTCAGTGTCTGCATGGCCATTTGGGGGGAAAGGGTGTTTCTGCCCTTCAGCACACCACGCATCTGAACTTGCTCCATGAACTTGGTCTTGTTCTGCGGCGAGTTGCAACGCAGTCTGATCAGGTTTACTCAGATTTACTCCAGCTCCGTGCTCTAATAGATATCTTGTGACATCGGTATGTCCATTTGCAGCAGACAAATGCAATGCAGATGATCCCTTCTTGGTAACCTTGTTAACATCTGCAAGTTGCTGAAGTAGACACCTCATGATATCGATGTGACCGTTCTGAGCAGCAATATGCAAGGGAGTCCAACCATCATTGTCTGTCGCATCAATTTCGGCTCCGTGGTTGAGCAAAAATGTTGTGATATCAAGATGCCCGTTCTGCACTCCGACATGTAGGGCTGTTGAACCTTTCTCATTGGTGGCGCCGTTGACCTCTGCTCCTCGCCTAACCAAATGCTCGGTAACATCACAATGGCCAACAAATGCAGCAACATGCAAAGGCGAGATATCATCGAAGTCTCCTTTGTTTACTTCAGCTCCCTGTTCAAGTAGATAATCTACAATAAAAAGACGACCCACTTGCGCAGCAACATGAAGAGCAGTCCAGCCAGCATTGTTGCTTTCGTTCACTTCAGCTCCTTGAGTAATCAGATACCGAACAACTGCAAGATTGCCACCTTTTATAGCATATTGTAATGATGTGCTACCAGCTGTTCTGCCTCCTTCACTTACAAGAAGATCTTCATGACTGTTAAGATCAGACGATATACGTGTCATTTTCACAATAACCATTCCCCCTTTAACTGTCTTATCCTCATCGCCATCTTGATATTTGGTTCTACCAAGATCACTTTCTGGAGTACCTCTAAAGACAGTGAAAGAATCCCTGAATCTGCTAACTGCGTGACCTACACGACTCTGCACACATCGCACAACATCATAATGACCATACTGTCCATCAAATTGTAAGATGACGGAGTTCCGAACGCTTCTCTTAATCAGTTCAGAGCCTTGGCTAAGCAGATACTTCGTAATGTCGATCCGACGATTAAATAAAGCATAATGAAGAGCAGTGGTTCCATATGCATTGCGAATATCTGCCTCAACCCCTCTGCCGATGAGGGATTTGACGATATCTAAATGGCCAGACGATGATGCAAAATGTAGGGCAGTCAATCCACAGTCATTTCCCTTATTCATATCGGCCCCTTCACTGATCAGATATTCCACGACATCCAAGTTCCCTTTCTCTGCGGCACTATGCAAGGCACACCTACCAAAGTCATTGCTAGAATTCACATCTGCTCCTTGACTCAGCAAATATTTTGTCATATTAAGATGGCCATTACTTGCTGCAATGTGTAAGGCTGTCCAACCAAAAGAACCAGCTTTATTCAGCTTGGCTCCTTGACTGACATGATCTTTCATGGCATCAAGGTCGCCTCTCTCTGCAGCGGAATGAAACTCCGTCCAATGAATTATATTTGATGTGGCCAGCTCAGCTTGCTGACTAAGCAAAGCACTTGAAACACGAACACGACCAGCAGCTGCAGCAAGATATAATGCTGACCATCCGTTGTCACTAGCCTTATCAACATCAGCTCCTTGACTGATTAATTCTGTGACAACATCAAGATGTCCTTCATTAGCAGCTGCATGTAATGCAGTCCAACCATCATAATTGGTGTGGTTAAAGTCAGCACATTGATTGATTAGTTCTTTGGTCACATCAGGATGACCATTAAAAGCGGCTAAATGTAATGCAGTCCAACCCACACTATCACCTGTATTCACTTCAGCTCCTCGATTTATCAGCCATTTGGTGACATCAAGATGACCATTACATGCAGCTAGTCGTAATGGGGTAAAACCATCTTTACCAACGTTATTCACCTCAGCTCCTTGACTGATGAGAGATTTGGTGACATCAAAATAACCACAATAAGCAGCTAGATGTAATGGGGTTAAACCCTCATTATCATCTTTATTCACTTCAGCTCCTTGACTTATCAGAAAGTTGGTGACATCAAGAATACCATTCCGTGCAGCTTCATGTAATGGGGTCATACCCCCATTTTTGCTGTTATTAACCTCGGCTCCTTGACTGATCAGAAATGTGGTGACATCAAGATTACCACCATAAGCAGCTAGATGTAATGGGGTCGAACCATTAATATCATCTTTATTCACTCCAGCTCCTTGACTGATGAGATATTTGATCACATCAAGATGATCATTTCCTGCAGCTAGATGTAATGGGGTCAAACTCTCATTTCCGCCGTTATTAACCTCGGCTCCTTGACTGATCAGAAATGTGGTTACATCCAGATGACCACCATAAGCAGCTAGATGTAATGGGGTCGAACCATTAATATCATCTTTATTCACTCCAGCTCCTTGACTGATGAGATATTTGATCACATCAAGATGATTATTTTCTGCAGCTAGATGTAATGGGGTCAAACTCTCATTTCCGCCGTTATTAACTTCGGCTCCTTGACTGATCAGAAATGTGGTTACATCCAGATGACCAGTCCCTGCAGCTATACATAACGGAGTCACACTATCATTTCCGCCGCTATTCACCTCGGCTCCTCGGCTAATCAAGTATTTAGTGACATCAAGATGACCATTCAGTGCAGCTAGCTGTAATGCAGTTCTACCGTCATTATCAACTTTGTTCACCTCGGCTCCTCTACCGATCAGTTCTTGGATGAGGTCAAGTTGTCCATTCTGCGCAGCACTGCTTAGTGCACTCTGCAAATCACCAACACTGTACTGATGGGGGGGCTTGGGAAAATTCAAACGTGGTTTATTCATAAATTGATACCATGTTGATTTAAAAATGTTGCTGAAATGCCATGATTTTCCGGTTTTGTTTTTCTTCTGCCCCCAAAAAAGTTTTTGCTCATTAAGCCACTGCATACTATCTCTGTTGATCAGAGCTTTGGCGAAGCCCTTTTTTTTGGGGGGGGGGTCTTTCCTTGCTCCTGAGGTACTGTACAAGTTCATGAATCGATCACAATCTGTTATTTCATTTTTCACTTCACGCTGTATCTTTCATTTTTCTGCCACATTCCTAGTGACAACTGGAAGCTGACATTATTTTATCACCAAAAAACCTAGAAAAATGAACATGTAAACATTTTCGCAAAGTCAGTCAGTGGTGAGGAACATATTTAAAATTGGGTGGAAACCCAATAAACAAATTCACGTACAAATTACGTCAATATCAAGGTATCGACTTGAACAGATTTACGTTCTTCAAACACTTGACATTTACGTGATTGTGTAAACACGTTTCTTGCACTAGGTGTACGTTTATGCTCAATTTTGAAGGCAGAATGAGCGATTTGAAACGCTCATCGTAAACACTTATCGAATCGCAGTTCCACGGTGTACTGTTTATGCTCACTTCTCTGGCTCCTCCAGGCATGATTCAGGCTCACTTCTCTGGCTCATCCAGGCATGATTCTGGCTCAGAGCAAGGATCATGCCTGGAGGAGCCAGAGAAGTGCAGTGCAGAGTCTGCACTGCGCATGCTATGTTGACCACATTTAAACGCGTTTAAAAATGATTATGCGTGTATGCTTCCCCAGAAACGCCGGTCCAAAACGCACCTTTTTGTGAGTTTGGGATCGGCGATTACGATCGCCGTTTTTCTGTGATTCTACAAAAATGAGTAAGGACGCAACCGTGTTTTGAACTAAACGCGTAACAAATGCCTCATTCTGGCCAGAAAAAGCTGAGTATAAACGTACCCTAGGTCACTTATAAATCACATGTACACTAAATTACGACCATGGTTTGTAAACCTAATACTCCCGTTTTTGTTTGGTTATGAAATTACATCTTCATAAAAGAAATTATCACATTCTTTACAAGTTTTAGAATCGCGTCACAGAAACACGTGAAGCGTTAGTGATAGTTTTAGTCAAAATATCTGCGTGAAATTTACGTGAATATTAAGAGGCTGACTGGAGATGAATCATGTTCTTCATTCACGTGAAATTTACGTCGGAGAGGAAATATGTTACTGTAACCCGCGTTCAACCCAATAATTACGCAAATGTAAGAGGACACTGTAATAACAACGACTCAGCCAGCCGCTAAATAAGCGGGGGTGGGGGGGGGGGGGGGGGGGGGGGGTAAGAGGATTTTTTATTTTTTTTGTGTATCGAAATTTTCCTGTGGGCATTGTGACGCAAATAGTATCATGTGATAAAGTGGCCTGGGCAGTATAACACTCCACAAGCGGAACCTTTCTATTTTCCTAGACAGAAAATAAACTGCTTTAAACGACGATTCGGGGGGGGGGGGGGATTTAACATTAATCACTTGCCATTGCATCTGAGTACTTTTCCCACAATTCAATCACTTAAATCTACTACACTAGCGAATCTAGAAAATTCCAAATTTTCTGTTAAAAATGTAAACATGTTATTTATTTTTATTTTATTTTTTATTTTTTATTTTTTTATTAGGTGGTCTGTCAACGACAGATCACCTGTTTTCGTCAGAATTTTCTTTCTTTATTCTTTATTTTTATTTCTTCCCGTTTTTTGTTTATCGTTTAACTCAAGATCGGTTGTGTTAATTTCTTTAAATTTTGACACAGTCATAGGTCATTGTCATGAGACGTGACAGGAACATTTTCAAGGTCATCAGGTCATCGTGACGTCATCCAGGCGCCATTTTGTGAAATCACGTTATCCATCATATCTTCATGATGCATAAACAAAGGTCATTCATATTCATATCACATATACTTCAGATCAAGAGTCAATAGGTCATGTCATCAAAGGTCACATAAAGGTCATGTCGCGCGCGTACGCGCGCGTCAAAATTTTAAAATGCTCAAAATCACCTAACTATTAAACGAGAGTACGAATCAGGTCATTTTAAGCATTTCAAAATTTTCCGTCCGTACCATCGAAATCGAGTTCGTTGGTCCGTACGTGTCCCCGCGCGCGTTGCGCGCGCTCACAACGCGCGGAAAAGGTCAAATTCAAATTTTTTACATGATTTAGATTCCTCTTACCGTAAATGACAATTTGCTTTAATTTCAGTCACTCTTGACCTTTTATAAGGCCGTGAGCGCGCGTCAAAGTTCAAAATCCGCGCGTGCTGCTATGGGAAATATAGGATTTCCCGGCCAAATTCGCGTGTTTGTCATTCGAATTCATTTACTTTGCATTTAAGTTAGCGCAGATCGGCTTGCCATGCCAATTATCATTCAATTTTCCAGTTTCCAAATTAACACCTGTCATTCGTATTCGTGATATTTTTATTCAAGTTAGGAATGTTAGGGGGAAGAATTGCAACAAATTTTTGTAGTTTTTAAATATTAATGCAGTTAAAATGCATGATTTGCCATTGGGGTGTAAGCTGTTATTCCATTTATTTATTTTCAGGACAATGCAGATGGGTGTAGTCAGACATAAAGTAAAGAAGGGGCGAAATCAAGGGATATGGCATTTCTGCACGAACATCTTCATATACCTGGGAAAGGTGGGGGTACCCTCAATCGCCCCTTTTTACTACAGACTCGGAATTTTACAAAAGTAATTCACATCGCCTCTTATACCCAGCACACGCCTCTGTTTTTCTTTAAGAGTTTCATAGTTTACTTGCCCGCCAGCAGATCGATGCTAAAGACATGGCTAAATAATGAATCATGTTCAAATTGTTGACTCTAGTCCCTACCCCAGTCACAATGTTGTACCCTTATTCCATAATGAAATTATGATGAAATTAAGATGAATTTATGATGAAACATAAGACAAACAACTTCCTTATACGAACATTTACAAATATACTGAGACAATCAGGTCCGGAGATGCTAGTCGTTTTTTTCTTCTTAACAATCAAACTAAAATGCTGATGAATATCAGATAAATCTAATAAGTATAAGTGTATAAATGCAAGAAAATGAAATATGATGAAATACACATGAAAAAACAATCTTGAAAGAAAAAGAATGAGCTATGAAAAGTGTGTAATAAACGAGAAATGTATATTGACCATCAATTTAAATGCACAAAGTACTAATTTGAATGCTACAAATGATTTAGAATGCTATAAGTACACCGTCGCGTTGTCAGAAAATCGTGTTGCGCCAAATCGAATGACCAAATAGCGAAAGAAGCACATTGTTCATTAATTTGAATGAAACATACGTAGATTCTAACGAAAATTCCATAGATTTGAAAAATAGAAAAGGGAATATAAACCCGAGATATACCTGACTGCACTAAAACCGTCGAATTTGAACGCAAGACAAATTAATTTGAATGACAAACTCGCGAATTTGGCCGGGAAATCCTATATAATGCAAATTTGATCAAAAACATGCCATTTTAAAAATCGAAATAGCTCTTCAGATAGTCTATTGACACCCAACTTTTATATCATGATTGGAAAAAGCATGAGTTGGAGATATGATTTCATGTCTCATTTGACCCTCAATTAACTCATGACGTCATCATAATGGCCTCCGAACTCAAAATTTCAATTTGCATATTATGACGTCAGCAGATTTTTGCAAAATTGATTGTATCTCTGTAAATATTGATCAATTTTCTTTCAAATTTTGATATGTTCTACCTGAGAATATTCTCTACAAATGTAGTTGCCACGATATTTTATTTTGACAAAGGCATCATGGCATAATTTTGCAATTAATGGAGGTATGTCAATTTTTCACATTTTGCGTGTATTCTCTATGGGACATGACTTTTACTAAAAACTGGATCTACATTCTCGTCTTTCGCGAGCAATATCTCCGTCGTTTTATCTTTGTTTACGCTGAGCTTTGAGTATGTTGTAGCTGAGACAATAAGCTATCACAAATGTGCCCTTTATTTTTCGATCAGATGCCGGGATCATGCTCATATTTCACTTACAAAGTGGGATTTGTGAATTCAATTTTCAGTTTACGTGTAACCTCAATTGGAAATGTTATGGTATATCGGTAACGCACTTGACTTCCGACCTCGAGGTCCCTGGTTCGAGTCCGGGCGTTTCCAACAATTTTTTTTCTTCACTTTTTTTTCTTTTTGACCTTTCACTGTACCATCTCCTTTGAATATTAAAACACGTACAATCGCAAATAATGTAATAAACAACGATATTTACTTTAATATTACCCTATTATCACTTGATCCATTACTTTTGGCGTGTAATCCTTATGGGAGATGACTTTTTCTCAAATCTGGATTTTACATTCTTGTCTTTTGCGAGCAATATCGCCGTTATTTCGGCTTGATTTTTGTTGATTTTTGAGTATGTTGTAGCTGAGACTATATACTATCTAAATGTTCTCTCATTTTTTTCAGTCTGATGTCATCGTGGTCTGTTGATGATAATCATCAACATCATCATGATCATCATCATCATCATCATCGTCATCCCCATTACTATCAAGATCATCATCATGATGATCATCATGATGATCATCATTGTTTACATGTCTATATATCTTCTCCCTTTCTCAATATAGTAAATATTATAATCTATCATAAGACTTGAAGACAGACCACCTAATTCGTCCCCATGACGAATTAAATTTCTAGTTGTTGTTTTTTTGGGGGGGGGATGTTAAAAGCATCGTTCAACCATATTAAATCTGAGATGCATGACCCTATGTGTTATCAGTGTCTGTGATATGGTGTATATTGAAGCCCTAAAAAAAACTGCGCTTCAAAGTGATCATGGAGTGCCTCAAAAAATTAAAAACTTTTGAGTGACCGGTTTTACCATACTCATTTTTCCCAATAGACTGTAGTGGTTCGAAAACCGTTACGAAGACACAAAATGAA